ACGTTGTTTGATATGATTTAAAGGCTCGACTAAGTTCGTAATGTGTTTTGGGATGTGTTGGTATAATTGGTTGAGGTCCGGAGGGTCTCGGGTAGATTCCGGGTGGTTAACAGATCGAATTTGGAATTGTAAGAAAAGATGAGGTAGCTGATATCTGGTGTGATCACACCTGCGCGATAAGGGCCGCAGGTGCGAGGTCGCATGTGCGAGCCAGTGGTCGCAGGTACAGTTTGGGCGAAGCTGGGCAGTGACCGCAGGTGCGAAGGATTGTATGCACCTGTAAGGTCACAGATGCGGAGGTGCGTCGCAGATGCGAGAGTGAGAGAAGAATCTGGGAGCGCAGGTGCGAGAGTATGTCCGCACCTGCGAAGTCGCATATGCAGAAGGGAAGGCGCAGGTGCGGAGTCGAGCTAGGAAGAGGTGATGCACAGGTGCGAGGTTTTGGCCGTACCTGCGAGACCGCAGATGCGACGAATAGGCCGCAGGTGCGGAAGTCGGGGTTGGGCAGTGTCTCCTTTAAAGCGAGGGTTTGGCTCTATCTAATTTCATTTTTCGCCTATGGGAGACAATTTTGGAGCACATTGGAATGCCAACTTCATCAATCATAATGGGTTTTGGGGCGTTGTGCTTCGATTCGAGTTGTTTAAAGGGCTCGAAAGCCGGTTATGGAACTACGAAACGAGGTAAGTCTCCTTTCTAACCTTGTAAGTGGGAATTAACCCCCATAGGTGAACTAAACTATTGTGTGCTTCTATTTGTGGGGGTTGCGTACGTACGAGGTAACGAGAGTCTGTACGTAGCTACTAGCTATGCCTACGTCCGGGTAGTTTTAGGATCAAATCATGCCTTGTTGATATTGTTATTGATTTATGTTTATGGTTTGCCTTGAGAGGGAGCGGGATTGAGTCTGCTTATTAAATGTTTTGAAATGAGTTGAAATTGAAGAACTTAAGATTTAAAAGGTTTCATTTGAACTTCAAGATTTCAAAAAGAATTGAGTAATAATATAATAGCTGAAGAAATCTATATGTAACCGCGTCGAATGTATGTTTCGCGAACGGGGTAATTTTCTTAAAAAGTTACAAGCTGAAATTCCCTTATTTTTTGAAAAGAATCAATAAAGAGATATGATTTTAATATTAAATTTATATTTGACCGCGTCGCAAGTATGATCCGCGAGCGGGGTGATTCCTTAAATTTATGTTTGACCGCGTCGCACGTATGATTCGCGAGCAGGGTACTTCCTACTACTCCCATGGGAGCGGGTCGTTCGCCTCGGCAGATTAAATAAATGCATCTATGGTTCGCGCCATTCGACCCCCTGGCAGTGCACAGTTTAAATATTTGTTGGATTACGACCTCGGCATGATTTGCGCATGCTTGTATTGCTTGCCTTGAAATTTATAAATAATAATATATCCTCCCTGGTCTGAGATAAATTAATAAATGATGAAATGTGAATTTGAAAACCTCTCATTAACAAAGGAATTGTTTACTTGATTCATGATTTTCTTGAGTTTACTGTCGTTTTTAATAAATTCACGACTAATTATATTATTGATGGCCACAGTAAGTGTCGAAGTCGACCCCTTGTCACTACTTCTTCAAGGTTAGGCGGGATACTTACTGGGCACGCGTTGATTTACGCACTCATACTACACTTGCTGCACGTTTTGTAGGTATATATATGACTAGTGGCCTTGTGGGCGCAGATGCGCGATTATTACGGGGACTTAATTGAGCTGCATCTTATGTACGACTCGCAGTCAGCAGAGTCTCCTTCAGAGTATTATATTTTCTTTCCTGTCCAAATTTATATTCCGGACAGTTATTGTATTTTATTTTAAATTTCTAGAAAATGCTCATGCACTTGTGAAATCGGGTTCTGGATAATTATGGGATGTACAGTATTGAAATTGAAAAACATTATTATTATTATTCTGTAGATTCATCTTTTACTAGATAAATTGAAGTAAATTTACGATTTCAAAAATATTAAAATGAGAATTTAATTAACTATTTAGTGTTGGCTTGCCTGACAGTGGTGTCTGGTGCCATCATGACCTTTAACGGATTTTGGATCGTGACACCTTAGCCACGAAGAGATGGTGGAGATTTAAAACTCAAAACACTTTGTGGGCAACCTACCTCAGAGCTAAATATTGTATCAGATCTCATCCTGTGGCTAAAAAGTGGGTATCAGATAACTCACCTGCTTAGAAACATATGACGCAAATTAGAGACAAGGTGGAAGAGAACCTGATTTGAAAAATTAATAAAGGTAATAGCAGTTTTTGGTGGGACAATTGGTCAGAAAAAAGGGGCCTTAGCCAAGCTCTTCCCAAACGACAGATTGAGTAAAACCATCAAAGTGAGGTAATTCATTCACGAAGGTAACTGGAACATGGAAAAGCTGATCAACACTCTCGATGAGCATACCGCTAGCCACATCAGTGCAAAAGAGATTGGAGATCAGAGAAAAGAAGATTATGCCATATGGGATACCTCAGCAGATGGTCAATACACAAACAAAAGTGCCTGGCATACCATAAGGAGTAGGAAACAGAAGAATGCAGCTCTACACAATATGTGGCTCAATTGCATCCCCTTCAAAATCTCTTTCTTGGCTTGGAGACTATACCTCGGTAAGCTTCCTTTCGATGAAGTTATTTCTCAATTTGGTAATCATATTTTTTCCAGATGTAGGTGTTGTCACAATCCAAAAGAAGACTCAATGCAACACGTCTTCATAGAAGGTGAAGCTTCTCAACATCTATGGAAAGATTTTGGAGCCCCCTTGGGTATCAAGCATGAAAAGCATCAAGAGGATTTTTAAAAACTGGTGGCATGCAACATCAAAGAACAACATTCACAAGTTCATACTTCGGGCAACCCCACTAGTTATATGCTGGGAAATATGGAGAAGCTGGAGCTCATGTAGGTACAGAGAGTAGAAAAAATTCCTGGTTAGGACTATGGAAGTGCACATTAACTGGACCATCCACGCGGCTTTAACAATGGCATTCCCCATACTCAATTGTACTGAGACATGGCCAAGGTTATGTGAAAAAATGGAACTATGGAGGCCAACACCTATAGTGCAATAGATTACTTGGCAGAAATCACCTCCTGGAAGGATCAAAGTGAATACAGATGGGAGTTATTTCAAGGAGATGGGAAAAGCTGGAATGGGGGAGTTGTCAGGGACGAACAAGGAAACATAATTATGGCATTCTCACTATCGGTCCAGTGTAAGACCAACAATACTGCCGAGGCCATGGCTGCTAAAATGGAAATCCAGTGGTCTGTCCACCAAGGATACAACAACATCGACTTGGAGATAGACTCACAGATCATTTACAACATGTTGATACAAGGCAACACCAAAAATCTTAAACTCAAGAATCTTATTGAAGATATTGGACATACCTTAACGCAAGCAGATATCAATATTGCTCACTGCTACAGAGAGGCAAATCAAGTAGCCTACATGCTCGCCAAAAATGCTGCTACAAGTGGCGATAGTACTTTCTTTTATCATTTCCGTCAACTACCAGGAAATGTAAAAGGACCTTTTCAACTAGATAAGTGGCAACTACCTAGTTTTAGAACTAGATATGACAAAACTAATTTTTTTGTAAGTTGATTCATTTAGGTTGCTGAAAATGAGTGGGATGTATATAGTTGTAACCCCTCATGTTTTTTAGGAGACTCACTTCGATTAGTCTTGTGATGAGAAGGGAGGTCAGGTCCATGTCCCCCTCCTATGTACTTTTTTGTTGGAATAGACATGATAGAGGTCTTGCCAAACCCCCAAGACCTCGGGAGGTGAAAGCCTGGGTGATTGGCTTAATTAAAAAAAAATTAATAAGCATCTTGCTTGACTTCCGTTTGACTACTGCTGGCTAGCCGAATTATTCACTAGGAAAAAAGTGAAAAATAAAATACAATATAAAGAAGAAAATGGTAAAGAGAGAAATTTTTCTAAATAACTTAGGAACGCTCAAGACTAGTGATCAGAAAAATAAATGTCACTAAATCCCCAGAGATAATAATAGCGTGCAGTTGTAATATTTTGGAAAAATTAATTACTTCCCTAAATGTCATCTTTGTGATTGTTTTGTAGTAATTATTTGTACGTCGATTCTTCTAAAGAAATGTACAATTTTTATGGTATCAGTTGAGAAATTCTGAAACTCAAAAAAATGGAGGATGTTTGAAGCAAGCTATCTCGATTTGTCAAGTGGCTTCAAGGAGAATTTGCAAAAGTTTCAAGTTTGAACAACAATCACATCCTGCTAGCTACTTTATTTGATTGATTGAAACAACTTCAAGTTGTATGGGTTAATGAATAAATATTTCTTCGGTAGCTACATGCTACTGTACGTAATTTCTGCAATCATAGTGAATGACGACATTAAAAGGAAGTCATCGAGTTTGTTAGCGGAACTTTTTTTATTTCCCCAAAATTGTTACTCTTACCTTTTCATTATTTTATATGATAATGTTTAATTGGGTATAGACTTTAAGTATAAAATCTTTTACAACTTCTTGTTTTAAATATGCTTTTAAAGTATGTCATTAAATGTATATGGTGGCGGATGCAATATGCCACGAATGGATTCAACATATAATATTTTACACTTGGTATAAATATACATGTAAAAAACATTAGGTTCAAATTCTGAACACATAATTATAGGAGCAATGAATTCAGTGCTAATTGTAGGCATACAAAATTTATTATGTTCAAATTCAATAAAATAATTTAGACTATTTTAAATATATTAGTCTAATAAAATATTATGGACTAATATAATTAAATTAATTATATAAGTACAATATATATGAATTAAATAAATAAATATATTATCAGTAACCATTTAAACTTTTAATTGAAATAATTAATTTCCCAGTAACAAAATATATCTTTTCCTGAAGGTAAAAATATAATTTAAAAAATTGAAATAATAATTTTACAATTCAACTGGAACTGTCAAAAAATAATTGCACATTTTAATTATCACAAGAGATCTGCGGACAAATAGTTCTCATGGCCAACCATCTTAAGACCATAGACAAGTCAAACAAAATCCACAAATATGCTTATGAAACAGAAATTGATAGTAGATATATTAATAAACCTCCAAAGTACATATATAAAATCAATTGGGCTTTACGATCCTGCTATTTTATTTTGCAAGTTCGCTTATTTAGAACCGTTAGCATAACACAAGTGACAAAGTGATCATAAACAAAATTCATGCAAACGCCAAAATGACTGACATAACAAAAGCAGAATGAGGATTAATAATATTAATCGGGTACTTCGGCTTAGCAAGTGAAGCCAGTAGGAGGATTCCTTCCACAGTTGTTGAGAACAAGGCTAAGTGAGAGTGGCACATTCAGATTTATTCCCAACACATTTGCTCTTATGGCTGTGCACAAGCAAACTGCCGCCTCTAGATCC